ATTGTAGCAAAGCTGCTGAAGAACGATAGTTGGTGGCTTTGTAGTTTTGACATCTGCTCATCTCAAGAACTTTGCTGCATGTCATTCGTCTTTCCCATGTTTCCTGTCTTCCTTTTCTAAGCCTATGATGACAGAATAAAGAAGAAATGATTTTTCTTTCTCTCAGCGAGCAAAGAATGAGCTTTACAGAGTGCAGAACGACACACAAGCAGCAGCCGTGAGCATGCAACCGGTAAACAGGTGAATAAATAACTTCATGTTAAAAAACAAAACAACAGCAGGAAAAAAATAACTGATGAGATGTTGCAGGAAGTGTGTACATGTATGTTTGCAGAGGCATCAGTGTATCGTTTTTTTTCCTTTCCCCCCTCGCCACGTAAACACGAGCGCAGTCAATAACTGCTGGAGGGAGTCGGCTTCACGGTGACAGGTAGCAGTGAGACTTGCTTTCAACAGGTTCAAACAGATGAAGCAGTATCGTATATACAGTGTATACGCATGTATTGTGTTAGTTATTCAATCAGTGTTGACACCAGTAAAGCGGCTCATCTAATATTTTTAGATGTATTCTTCTGCATTTGCCTCTGAACTTGCACTAAGACACAAGGTTTTCCCCAGTGTCTGTGACTCATCTCAGCTTGTTAGAATATATGCAGATTTGGGAAAATGCTGCATTGGTCCTGCTCATTTTCTACTGGCTGAATCTCACCAGTCTCGCAATATTCCTGCTGATGCTGAAAACATCGTTTTTGAAGTGAATAAAAACAAGGCAAAACAAAAAAGGGGGTCAGACTTGGGACAACACAACAGGGATGGTCTGTTCTCTGTGATGCATGTGGTGGCAGCAGATCTTGTTGTGAGAATTTGTATGATAACATAGCTAGCATGTGGCCTCTGGCAATAATAAAAGGGATGCTCTTACAGCTCAAGAGTGCATAATTGAGTTTGTGTGCCACACTGATGAGTGCAGCAATTTACATCGGAGGCAGGTGGGCGCGCTCGCTAACACGCGTCTCTTAAGTCTCAGTTCAGTCTCTTTGAATTCCACTTAGATCATGGAAAGTGATACAAATCTCCCGCACTCGTAAAATATGAAACGATCAGGACTGATAGGGATCTAGAGGTTTTAGTGGTGACAGACGAAATTGTCTCTTGTGAGGCTTCTGCATTTGTAAGATCAGGCTCAGATTAGATGGAATTAAACACTCGCAGCTGAAAATTGTATTAATGCGATTTTGTGTGCATATTTTTTTCTTCTGAGCTCAGCTAAAATGAATAAAGTGAAATGATTTACATGGACAGCCAAAACAGTGAGGGTGTAAGACTGTTGCTTGTCGGTGCAGGGTATATTGTGCTATTTACGCACATGTATTTTTTTGGTACCATTTTGTTACATATTTATAAAAAAAAAATACATTTAAAAAAGCACTAGGTTACACTTTGTAAATGTTTCAAATACTCAACTGCCTCATGACAAACTGTGTGTAAGAGGAGAAAAAGTTCAATACAGGCAATGCAGGTGCCTATAATAAAGCTTAATAAAAAAACTGTACTGACTTAAGAAATATCAAACGAAGCAATGTGTTTGTAATATTGTTCAAGCCCTAGAGCACCAAAACCAGATGTAATTTCAATATTTGAAATGGGCAAGTTTAATTTTGAAGTAAGACCAAACCAATAAGCTGAGAAAATGGCAAATACGAGAGAGCAAATTGCATTCCTTTGTAAAAGTGAAAAGACTTAAGGAACATATAAAAGTAATCTCCAACTGGAAATTAGAAATCAACCCTCAGAAAGCAAATAACAGAAAAGAAATATTACTGTCCACTTTCTAAATCAATATAACATCGCTACAAGACAGTATTACCATGGTAACACTGGTAAAGAATGAAGCAATCCTTATTATTTCAAAATAAAAATCGGAGCCCGAAGCCCAAGTTTTATTACAGCAGCTGACAGAAAGATCGCCAGTCTGTATTCATCTGGAGCACTGCTTTTCAATCACACGCTTTATGAATGTACACATTTTTAGTGGACAGGTTGATAACAGGATCTTAAATTAACAAGCACAGGTAACTGGAAACTTATAAGTAGCTGGAGGTTTTTTTTCTCCTGTTTTCTCCCCCCCGCCCTTTGGTTCAGGTCTGTAAAGAGTATACTGTAGTTATGGTAATGTTCAGCAGGAAGATGCCTTCAGCGTGGACCCACTTTCTTCTCCTGCAGTGTGCGAAGAAAGAGAGAAAACGGCTGAGTTGCTTTTTCCACCCCTCTCAAATTATACGCAAATTGGAACCTCATATTGCAGGGTAAAATAAAATGTTGACAGTGAATATTTTGGTACATGTTGCTATTCATTGCCCACTATAACCTGCATATTAGGTCACTTCACAGAGCAGTGCCTGTGTTCCTACTGCAGTCGTCCTCTGTGCTCCCAGACTCAGGGCTCTGCCAGATAATATACATACAAGGATAATGACCTAATCATCTGAGAGTAAGGAGCTAAGTTTACACACAGTATCCACAGGTATCTGCATCCAACATGAAACCATTCAGGACGAGGATTTCAATGACAGCTGACAGGGGTGCGTCACAAATTTTTATTTTACATTTTCGACACGAGACAAACTTGCGCAGTGGGAAAAGAACTGGTATCAGTCACAGAGGCTCGTTTCTGGTAATTGCTTTTGCAGCACAAATTGTTGTAGACTTTTCTAAGAGGAGTCAGAGTTCAAAAACGGTCTGCCAAACAAGCAGCATCATTACTTTGTTGCCAACTTGGATCGCTGGCTTTGAACACGAGAACAGACACACTGATGATCTGTTTTATAGCCCGCGCAAGGACTGAAATATGAACACTTAGGCGACTCGCACACGGGCATAGTAGTACATCAATCAAGGAAACGAAAAACAAATAAACTAACAAAAAAAAAAAAAACCAGCAACGCAGAGTAAGCACACATAAACACACGTGTGGCCACCCAGACCCACACCTCCACTGCCACATACGCGTGCATCTGTTTGCGCAGGCACTAAGTGGATACATTAGACGTGAAGGTTGAATTGACAAGCCTATAACTTTGGAGCCAATAAACGCTAAGAGGCATCATAGAGAAAGAGACCAGATCCGAGCCGCTCTGCTGACAACCTGGCCAAAATGCTGGAGCTGCTGGTTGGACCCAGCAAATAAAGGGTGAAGCTTTTAGGCAATGAGCAGCAGGTGATCTCAGCTTTTCTGCAAGTCCTAATGCTCCTAAAAGCCTCTCTCCCTGGTTCTGTAATTGGGCATCAGTAGTTAATGTAGTATTGACTGCATTACATGCTCCTGTGCATCCTTTCCCACTAATGCCATTTGCATCACCTTGTACATTTACCATATTGCTTAGCCAATAACTGTTAAAAGCAATCTGAATCATGAATCATATAGGGAACTTTTAGCAAGACAGACATCCAAAGGAGACAATTTACAGTTGAGTTAATTTGAGTACATTAGCAGCACAACATAGATTCAGCCAGACAGACCAATTTATGTCTCTACCGCAGTCCTTTTATTGGTTTTTGGATGTGTAAGTGAAAGGATGCTCCTCTAAGATGAATGAAAGATCCATTTTCAAACATAAATAATGGGTTACAGATGCATCCATTACTTTTGGAGGAGGAGGAGTCCTGCATAAACTGGAGTGTACAAGAGAAATATTCCGTACTTTCAGAAATAACATGCACACACACAGGCACACACGGGGAAAAAAAGAAGTGTTTTATGGTTGTGGTGGCTGTCAGCGTGCATGCCAGCAGGTGGTCTGTATTGTCAGCAAATCGACCTCAAAATACTCTTAAAGAAGTGACAGAATAAAGACATGCAACACACACCTACTTGGTTTTTAGTTCATCTCAATCAGGTTGTGCAAATGTGTTCAGAGCATATGCACTAAACAGAGCCGAATGTGACGGATGCACTGCACACATCTCAACATCGGCTTAATCCAAAATGGGACGTCATTAGAGGCGAATTTGATTTAAATTAAAATTAATTAGATTGCCTCGCCCATTAACCTAAATACATTGAAATAGATAAGTAATGCAAGTAGGCCTATTTGGATGGAAAGTGAGCGAACGCTGCACAGGCGCTATCCATAATTTGCAATCAAGTTAAAAGCACTCTGCTGTCATCTCCCATCCCGTGGTGATGTCAAAGGCTGCCTCGCCAACTTCACAGACGCAAAAAGCACTTAGGAGGAGGAAAGAAAAGAGGAGCCACATGCACTGCAGTCTGTGTGGAGTATCATCAAACTCTGGCTCACACGAAGAAAGACAAAAAAGAAACAAAAAAAGAAAGACAAAAAAAAAAGCTGCAAACAAATCCCGTTTATAATTAAACTCTCCCTAACTGAACTGCAGTTTGGCATTTGTAGGGTTTTTGTGGAAGAGCGCATCAACTTCGTGGTACAGAAAGCACATACGATATTGTTAGTTAACAAAAAAAGGAGGGGAGGGGAAGAGAAAAAATCGCCCGGACCCCATCGTGACTGAATGGGGTTGAAAAAGCCAGCGTTAAGCGGAGGCTGCCGGTGCACAGGGTCCGGGGAAAAAACACTCAGTGTGTAAAATGTCACTAGTTTGCCGCGTTACTCCCTAGGTTATAGCATCCTACGGTGGTAGACGTTACTCACCCTCTTCCTTGTCCAACACCATCGTCCTGAGGAACGAGGAGTCCTTCCTCGGGCGATCCGTCCTCGGCTCCAGCAGGCTGCACCGCTCGGTGTGCTCACAGCTTCTCCTGGAAATGGCTTTGAAACGCGCGGTTGACTAGACTACGCCTCGATAAACCGAAACCCTGGAAAGATGAATTGCCGTCTGCGCGTTTTCTCCCACCTATCAATAATAATTCACACACGGAATACGGCGATAAACACGACGAGAAACCCCTATCCGGACTGAAGTGCAGCGCAAACAAATAGCGATCAAACAGCGTCGGTTGCTCTTGATAAATTCCATGCGAATAGAATAAAAAAAGAAAAAAAGAGGAGGAGGGGGGCAAAAACAATGAAAAGCGATACAAATCTAGTGTCGCCTATCTGTAACTGTGCACACACGGTCGGATCAGACGCTCAGACTGAACGGCTGAGCTCTCCTCGCTTCTTAATATTCTCTCTTTCCCGTTCTCATTTGCTCCGAAACGGCAACTATATTCAAACAAATCCAATTGCAAATCTGACAACTGCTAAAAGCAAACTCGCGCCGCCTCTCTCCCAGTTTATGTGCCGCGCTCGCCTCTGCTGCTACTGAATAAATGCGCGCAGTTTCCAGAGACCCTCGGATTCCCCTGTTAATTAAATCAATTCATTATGCTCAGATCTGATTAGCAGCCCTTCCCCCCTCTTTGAATCAATTATTCAATACACAAACATAATTGCTTGTGCCAGAGGTGTCTAAGTATTAGCTTATTTAACTCCAAGGACACTAATTACCCCTAGGGCAAGGGAACTTTTCTCATTAATTCTGACAAAACACAAAAGCACAGCTAAGGGAAAGTGTGTGTATGTGTGTGTGTGTGTGCGTGTATGTTACTGGTCCGCCTGCCAGTCTGAATGTGCGCGATCGAGAGGGAGAAAGAAGGAGAGCGCGCATGCACCTAAGTTGGTATTGATGCACGTGCGCACGCACGCGGGTGCATGTTTCAGGGAGAATGAGAGAGAGGGAGAGAGGAAGAGAGACGTTGAAGGAGAGCAATAGTGCTTCACTGGTACAGTTTGAGTAAACATAAAACGCACTCATTGTTTTTTGTTTTTTTTTCCCCTTCTCCCTACTTTTTTTTTTCTTCTGCTGAATTTAATAGAAATAGCATCTAATTGTGGTCTGTTTAGCAGTTAATTAGTGTCCAGACACAGTTATCATACAGGCTGCAGATAAACAGTCGTTTCAAAAGACAGCACAACAGATGGGCTGCGTTTTTGATTAGTGGGTAGATAGAAGGTTCAGTTTCGAATCTGGTAATATAATTGTTGCCTGTTATTGCCAAGATGAAAGTGTTGCTGTTTCATGGTGGAGCCTTAAATAGCACCACTTTCACTTGCCCTGCGGAGACTGTTAACCAATTAAGGGTGAGATCCAACAAAGATTAGCCATTTAGGAGAGTAGAGTGGAGTATAGCTACAATAATGTAGGTTCGTCAGCAGCCAGCAGGCTGTCTGTGGTGTGAGCTTGCTCAGTCTGTCCTTGCCTTCTGTTACATTTTGCACACATATTACAGACCTCCTCCAGGCACATCATCATTAGCTCCCATATAAGCAAATTATTGTAATAAACAATAGCGATAATAATGCAATTTCTATTCAGAACTGTTTCGGAGCACATTTTAGTAACTTTGCCGTGGTGAAAGCTTATCTGTGAGATAAAACTTTGATGATGAAGCGCGAGCTAAACTGCACCGGTTTTGAGTTGATTATAGGTTCCGTTTTAACACTAGTCTACAGTGGATGAACTATGCATGCTTTATTATTCCGTAATTATCCTGCTCTTCATTTGAAATAAACATTTTATAGGCCTTTCTAATGTGATCATGCACTACAAATCGAAGGTATAAAGCTGACTGTACATGGCCCGTAGGGGTAATTTCAGTTTTCAGCGCAGCAGGCTGTGGTGAGATTGGGTTGGCCCTCAAATCAATGGGCTGATCCTTCTCTGTATAGCGTTCTGGCTGACACGCTTGACTTTTCATCTCCACGGTCACATAGATTGATGACTTATGACCGAGAATGTATGTTTGCTGACCTCTAGCAAAGTGAGTGACACATAATTAATCCAATCACACGGAAAACTGGGAAGGAAATGGGAAGAATGGTTCAGTATCATCAGGGCTCCACTTCAGAGAGCCATTTGAGTTTTGAATGTGAACACCATTATGTGGATTTCTGTGGATTTGACACAGTTGTTTCACTAGAGCCTGCTTGCTATGAAAAATATCTTGTAGATGAGAGGTGCCGTGTATCTTAAAGTCACCAGCTTGGTTATCATATTTTAGTTTCGTATTTGAACACACCGGGACCCTTTTGAGTCCATGTTATTGCCATATTTGAGTTTTCTGTTGCTGCTTGGTTTGGGCTTGACAATAAAATTATGTCATTATGTTTAAGTAACATAACAACATAGTTAGAGTTTGAGGAGAAAATCATGGTTTGTATTAAAAGATGCACTACCACACATTTATTCACACATGTTAAAAGACACACGTATGCCATCTCCAATGAGGTTTTCTGACATCTTTTATGTTTATGACTATGTATGTGACTGCTACATGTCCTTGGATACCAGGGTTGCACAACCAGAAGAGCATTTTAGCTCATGTTGTCTTGCAGACTGCCCTGCACAGTGAAAAGTGACGCTAAAAGGGTTCTCAGTGCATCACAGTATAAAGCCTTCGCTTCCTAGCCAACCATCAGTCTGTGATGATTTTGGAGTTATATGGTGTTGACAGGACCATATATAAAGTCCTGTTTTAACATATGTGAAGTCACAGACAAGTTGAGCAGTGGTTCTCACTAAAGGTAGTTCTCATTAATATAAATCTAAAATGATCAATTATAAATTATAATACCTGTGATACATGCTCCAGGTAGGCCACGGCGTATTGCTCATCCTCTCAGCCCTCTGTCTTGGGTGCAGACCCTTTCCTACTTCACATCCAGCAGCTAGGTCAGTAAATACTAGAAACAGGCCCCTGAGTGGGCCTCTCTGATACACAGTTAATTAAAATTCATTTCTGAGCATGCATTAGCCATGCCCATCTATTTATGGGCGGCTTTCAAATGCAACCACTACAAAACAGTGCTCTGTAATTAACCCCACCTAATCAGATAGCACACTAGTGTTGTGTTCCTATTCGTCCTCAGGCACACAGCCATTGGACAGGGGTTTCAGAGAGAGGATGAGCCCATTCTATAGTTCAGAATGGCTAAGCAGATTAAAACCTCATATCAAACATGATATTTACAGGCAAGGCTCAGTGGAGAGTGCTCCTTTTATGTGGGATGGGGAGAGGCTTCAGGGCTGGGCTTTTAAAGCCATGTCCCTTAATTGTATTCTGGCTAAGTGGGATGAATGGTGCTTTTTAATCAGACCACTGACGGGGCTCTGTGTTGTAAAAGTATAGAGATAGTGCCTGATAGTTAAGATGCTGAACGATATGCTTTTAGTCCAGGCTTTTCCAGCTTCCACCGATATTTGAATGCATTTTGGCATTCTGCTGACACCTGTAAACATCTGCGTGATTTACCTCGTGTTTCTGTTTCTGTACTGTAGGAAAAAATGGGTTGGTAGGTCATTGCAAAAGGGAAAAATAAAAATAGAGTGTAGTCACTACGTGACTTGAGGTTTTTAGGTCTGTAACTTAAAGGTAGGCATTTGTGTGCTGTTTGTAAATGTGCCGTGCTTATAGTCAGAGAAAATCTGTAAAAACTACACAAATAAGGTTACATTCAAGAGTGAGGCCTGGTTACTTTGTTACCCTGAGAGTTAAGGTTCTGCTCCTCCTAGTGGCTGATCCCGGCTATGTTTCCCCTCAGACTTGCTCACAAATGGCTTTGATAGTTGATTTTTAACACATCTCGTAATACATTGCTAACACTTTTTCTTCTCTTATTTTATTCAAATGCCGTGTGGAAAATAATAATTATTGGAATCTTTTTGATGTAACCTGGCATGTTCATCATATAGAAACAGTATAAACCCTGCTGTTCACCCAGTCAATTTGAATTTCATGACCAATCACATGTAGACAAGGTGTCAGTTGGTGGGTAGGGAAGAGGGGAGAGTGAATCCCTTTCCCAAACAGTTAATCCAACTTTAATCCTAGTCATTAGGAATTAGACATGCCGAGCTGTCCGGCCGTGCCTCTAAATTACAATCAAACGGTTACCAATTACACAAATTATTGATGGTAGATTCTCTTTTCAACTGCAAATTAAGGCTATTAAGGAAGGCTCCTTTTTAATGCAAAAGTGACTAATTAACCAGCGGATAGGAAATCTGCTGCCCAGATATCAAAAAAGTTCTCAGCACACATTGCAGAAACACAAGGGAACCAATTAGTTTAATTATCAAAACAGCTAATTAAAATTGCACAGTTCCTAATTAGTTCTTTGCTTTTGCCTCTAATTGACAGCATGGAGATAAATGGGCTGCCGATGAAAATGGGGAGAGGAGAAAAACAGGAGAAACTTCGGCAGAATATTTATGCTGACTTTATCTCCGTCTGTGTGGCAGCCCTTGAAAGTGGAAAATTAATGACCTTAATTCCCAAACTGTTTTTCCTCTAACGGTGCTCCCCTCTGTGCTCCTGGTGCATGCTCCTTTGTATGGGCCTGCCACCCTGCCAACTGCTGGAATGGGAAAAAAGGGATACTTGGGGGTGGGAAGGAGCCACGATTCTCCTCCTAATGTGACAGCTCCCACCTAACAATGGAGAAAGATGAAAGAATGGAGCAGATGTAACCACTGGGAGCGTTGCATCATGGGACTGCAACTCTGTTGCACTTTTTTCTAAAGCACTTCTATCATCTAGGAGGGCACTAATTTGTCCAATGAAAAAGAAGAAACTCTGCTGTGATAATATGCATTTGACAGCCTGGCACTACTTTAAATAAGTTTCTCGATTTGAATTTTAGATTGACTAATGCTGCCTTCGAAAGTCTGCATAGCCATATTTGTTGGCGTTAACATAACTGTGAACCTTTTTGCTTTATCCTCTCGATTTATCTTTCTGGTTCTCCTTCTTTATTGGTGTGGTCTGTTTGAAGGTCCTTGAAAACAAAGAAGAAAGATGGATCCAGTTACTAAGAAATGCTACACTGGCAAACCTGAACGACAGCCATTTACCTCACGAGATTTTGTGCTAGACTTTGTGTGTGTATGTGTGTGGTACCACTCTCTGTTGTCTGTCCTTCTGGCAGGCTTTGTCTCTTTGTGTTCCTGCAAGGCCAACCTTGTCATGTGTAATCCTGTCCCTGTCTGGATGCAAGTGACGCGTGGGTCCTCTTGGCACATTAGTAGATAACTATCGACTAATCGGTTTACTTTTGGGACTGTGTGAAAATGTAAATTACATTAATGCTCAAATTATGCATCAAACTACGCAGATAGGCCAGACCAGAGGCCACATAATGCTGGGATCATTCAGTTAGTGCCTTCTACATGCAGTGTTAATGCACTCTGATTTCCCTGCTCTGGTTCAAATCAAGTGTGCTACGTCAGCCAGTTGGTGTCTGGGAAACTGGAAGGGTCTTTGTATTAAGTGGAGCTCTTCTTTGCAGAACTCCAATAAAAAAGCAGAGAGATGACAGCTGCCCTTTGGGTTTCTTTTGTCTCATTTGGTGGAAAGGACTTTCTGTTCCACATGCATTCTAACATTTTACTCCCCACTCAGTCGAAACTGCAGATTTTAATTTGTTTGTAATCTCTGTGAGGAGCTTGCCTAAAGTGAATTCGCTAACATTCAAAAAAGGTGATTTAGCTAAACCCGTCCATCTTTCTGTTTCAATATTAAACAATGAAGATGCGGGT